ACCATCAACACTGTCATGTCTCTTTCAGCATAAGCATGTTTACACTCCTCTATCAGACATTGGTCTTTTTTTTTTTTTCCCTGTCCTGGGGCTTGAACGCAGGGCCTGGGCACTGTCCCTGAGCTTCTTTTGCTCAAGACTAGCACTCTTATCACTTGAGCCACAGCGCCACTTCTGGTGTTTTCTGTGTATGTGGTACTGAGGAATTGAACCCAGGACTTCATGCATGCTAGGCAAGCACTCTACCACTGAGCCACATTTCCAGCCCTTTATTTTCTACAGCACTCAGAAAAACCTACAAATATGGACTGGAAAGCTAGAGTCCTGCTCAAGTAGTAAAGAGCCAGCCTAGAAAGTACAAGGCTGGGTTCAAATATCCATACAGCTAAATTAGCTAAATACTGGTCTATAGATGGATCTATTGGCCTATGACTAGAATCCTTGCTACTCAGGAGGCTGAGGTCCAAAGAATGGCAGTCTGGGGCTAATAAAACCAACAAAAAGCTAGGATGGATACATGGATCAAGTGGCAGAGAACCAACCAAACAAGAGGACAAGTATGAGGTCCTAAGTTCAAATTCTGGCACCAACAATACACACACACACACACACACACAAACACACACACACACACACACACACACACAGAGGAATATAAAATTGTACTGAGTGAAATAGCATTTATTTGAATGATATCTAAAACAATTATTTATTTGTGTCTTCAGTATTTTTTTTTTGTTGGACATTAAACCTAGAGCATTCTGCAATGCCAAGCAAGTACTCTACCACTGAGCTACATCCTTAACCACAATTCATCTTTCATATAAACTTTATGGAAATAATTTTGTGTAGTGGAATATAAAACTTTAACTTTTTTCAAAGGTCTTGAGTATTAGCCAGGTACACCAGATGTGGGACTCTGAGATAAATGGCAGGTCATCAGCGGCCAGATGGTGGCACATGCCTGTAGTCCTGTAAATGGTATAGGTTTGGGGACCATGGTTCAACAGTGGCTCAGGCAAAAACTTAAGACTCTATCTCAAAAATAACTAAAGCAAAAGAGGTCGGGCAGGTATTAAGTGATAGAGTACTTACCTAACAAGCACCAAAGCCCTGAGCTCAAACAGCAGAAACAACAAAAATCTATGTATTAAAGAGCACCAAGTACTAAAGAAAAAGGTATCTCCTTTCCAGTATAGCCCATTGTTTGAATATAAGGCATTCTGAGTTGAATGGCAGTAGGTGCTTTTTATATTTAGAATAGAAGGCAGTAATTTAAAATGTACCTATAGTCATAAAAAGCTTAAGTTAAGAGAAACATACATTCAGGACAAAACTTACAAACAAGTTAGAATTTGGAAACAACAATTCATAGGTGCTGTGAGACTGAACAAGTATGAAATACTTCACTGCAACTTCTTACCACTTGGGATAGCCAAGGATTTTCCATACAGTCACACGAAGATGTTTAGGATGTGTATGCATTACCAATATCGTGACTAGAGCGTACTACATATCAAGTAGTACACTCAACTATACAGTGCACTTCTTTTATAACACAAAAGGTTCTCATGTATTGTTCATTCACATTAATATGCTGTGGCATATTATAATCACTATTTGCCCTATTCACTTTTATCTCCAAAAGCACTAGTCATAATTTTAAAATGTTACAGTTAGGTATATAGAAAAGAAAGCAATAAGCATTGATTGATAAAACATACTCTGGTTAAGAGCTTAGAATATCATAGCCCTGATGCTCTTTTTTCTTTTCTTTTTTTTTTTGTCAGTCATGGGGGCTGAACTCTGGGCCTGGACGCTGTCCCTTAACTCTTCAGCTCATGGCTAGTGCCCTACTGCTTGAGCCACAGCGACACTTCCATCTTTTTTCTGCTTATGTGGTGCTAAGGAATTGAACCCAAGGCCTCACGTATGCGAGGCAAGCACTCTACCACCGAGCCACCTTCCCAGTCTAGCCCCAATGTTCTTGTGATTCTAAATACTCAAACCTATTTGATTTATTTTTAACAAAGAGTTGAGAGTATAAATCAGTTCAGAGTAGAAATAAATCAAAAGAATCGGCAAAAAGTAACTTTCCAGCTCATGGAAACGCCGAATCAACCCAGTGGCCAAGTGTAGCTAGAAGCTGTATGATGTATTAGTTACTATGTGGGGTTATAGAAGCCTTTCCAGTGTTACAGCAGGGTTCTTGGTTAAAAGGACTGTTCTATCCCATTATGTTTAAGATATACTTGTGAAGACTCCTTTTTCAGTTCGTCTATGGTACAGTAACAATACCCTCTTCCCTCACCACCTCCTTCCTTTTTTCTGTTTGGAGAAAGCTCTCGCCAAAGTGCTACTGAGGCCTATCCCAAAATGGCCTGTAGCTTGAGACCTCCTAACTACTGGGATTACAGGTGTGCAACACTACTAATGGGATTAAAACCAAATCTCAAGATGGTAAGATTTGGTTATAAGCTGATTTAAAATAAAATTTCATGCTAAGGTTTAATTCTAAAGGTTCCCTCTAAGTTACTTCACTATAGTTCCCCTGTATTTGTACTGTTAGTACAGGCTACGTGACTCCAGTTAGAAATCCTTGGCAACAGAAGTATTTGTGAAGTTCATTTGTTTCATATTTACTTTATACATAGACTATAAGTGACTTTATATTATATATTAGTTTTAACTACTTTGTGGATGAAAGCAAGTTTCACAGTGTAGAATTTTCACATCTGCATTAAGAAAAGTTTTGGATTCTAGATTTTCAGAATAGGGATGTCCATCCAACACACAGATGCCTACGACTGAGCTATAAACAATGGGAGAAATTTAATGAGGCTGATCCAGAGGAGCGACATTCCTGCTGACAAGCAGAATAATGGGATGTAGTGATGAAGCTCAGCAGACTAAATAGCAATAGAAAACACTCTAGAAAAGACACGACATAAAGCTGTGTTAAACTGAGAATGTCAATGTTCAAGGAATAACTAAAGGTTCAGCACAAACTATAAAACTGCCATAAACTTAAATGAATGAATGAGAGAGAGAGAGAGAGAGAAAGAAAGAAAGAAAAAAAGAAAGAAAGAAAGAAAGAAAGAAAAGAAGAAAGAAAGAAAGAAAGAGTGCCATAAATTGTCTGGAGCATTTTAATTTATATATGCCTTTTAGGAAAGATCACACAGATAGAATGGTTCACGAATTTTCTTCAAAATGTCACTAGGTAATTAAACTATAGATTGCATAGAAATGGCAGCTTCATACCAACTAAGACATGCAACCTCTGTTCCTAGGAGTCCACATGAAGAATGAAAGTCCTGAACAAAATAGCCCAAAGCATACAGCTAGGACTAGTTGTAGCAAAATGGGACACTTCCCAGGAAGAGTGCATCATCGCTTTCTAAAAAGAAAAAAACAAGTAAGAATACTGTCCCCAAAGTTCATGGGAAAGCTGCACACAAAAAAGTCATATTCAGAGCCAGGACACAGAAATCCAGAAAGATATCTGTAAAGGATGAAGCTACAGGTGAAACATCCAAGAAACATATGAAATAAACAAGGGTGACCAGTCCTAAGGACTGCCTAAGTTCCCAAGTGGCAAAAATCTGTAATAAGGCCTTCTGCATCCTTGAGTAACAAAGCTTTCAACAGCTAAGGGACAGCACCCAGGCCCCAAGTTCAAGCCCCAGTACTGACAAATGCACTACAAAAGCCAGGCTGAGTAGAGACTGCTCTACTCTGAAAACTTCTTAGGCATTAGACACATTTTGACTGGCTCTCCTATTCCAAGGGAACAAAGCTGTTCCCTTGAGTAATCTGAGTCTGCTCTTCACAACCACACGCAAGACAAGATAAGCGCTTCCCAGTATTTGCCTCCATAAGGTAAAAGACAATCTTCTGCTGACTGGGCATCTTTTGGAATTGATGTAAGCCTCCTTTATCCTGTGATGGAGACCACATCCCAGGTGGTTTACATGACACAGACTCAGCCCCACCCTCCTCAAAATACACATATTCACCCTCGCTTCCTGTCAGCATGCTCCTGGCCTGTGTGCGCTCTGTCAAGCTTCTGCTTTCCTACACATGCTCTCCCACTCACCCACTCTAACACCAGTGTCTCATGACCAAGCAATGTGAATCCACAAAAGACTGGTTCAAGGCTGTATGCCAGACTCCAGGTAAGGTAGCACAAAGTCCTACCCTTGACTTTTACAAATGTCCATTAGTAACCCAAAATGCCAATCCTACCAAAGAACACAGAGGCCTAAACTCACCAAATACTTGCAGCCATACCACTCTTGATATTCAGAACAAAAATGTTTTCATCCTGGAACTTCAAAGATAAACCCTGAAGTAGTGCTAGTATTATTCCAGATCCATTCATCATGGCTCTGACTTAGATGGACCAGAGAGCTAGCTCACTGTAACTCCATCTCTCTTGAGCTGCTGAGTGGTATATAAAGGATGGGGAACTTCTCTTTCCCAAAGATGTCATAAAAATAGCTCAAAAAGGAACACATCATCTCACTTTTCCAAGTTATAAAAGTAAATAATAGCAAAATCAAATCTTCGCATGGGCCAAATATACATTCACACACTTCAATACCACTTGTAATAATTAAATTTAATCTCTGCTTTATTTATCCATGTCTTTCTAGAATGTAGCATGGAAATTCAAACTGGTCTAATCTTGTTTACTGTACCTGGCACGTTCCATGTTGCTACAATTGCTTCCACAATAGTCTTCTAAGAAAGATTAAAAAATAAAGTACCAAACTGAAGTTAATCCCCCAATAAAAACCATGATCAAACACCAGGGTTTTAAGCAACCTTAGAAATCAGCAAGAGTAAGAAAGAAAAGGCATGGCAAAATATTCTACATAAACTGAGAAGAAGACATATCAAATGAATGAGGCAGAGAGAGGCAGATATAATCAATCAGTACCACAACAGTACATTTTAAAACATGAAAAATAAACTTAACAAATCTAGGTACTTACATTAAGAAGCAACTCATCTTTTGTTTTAAGAGGAAAATTCTTATTTTCCTTCTCAACCTGTAAATCATCGTCTCCATCTGACAACACGGGAGGAAGTGATACACAGGAGGAAGAAGATGAGGATGAGGAAGATGATGAGGAAGAGGAGGAACTGGAACTATCCGAATCTGTTTCACTGCAGAAGAAAAAAACATTGGTCAAGTATTACAATGATATTAAAATAAAATGATTCAAATAGGAACTATCTTCCTTATTAACTACTGCTATTCTAATTCAAAAAATGACTGCTGCAGGGAAGTGGTCTTTATGTTTAAAGCAGTCTAATAGAAATCCACTATTGCTATCATGTCACATGTCAGACATTTTGAGTATAATTAAGCATGTGACAATCAGTGAGTAAGTCTACTTTCTTAGTCACCAATGAGGAGACCACTTGCTTGCCAAAAGTTTCTTCTCAGTCTTCAGACAACTTGGAAACTCCTGAAGGATGGCCCCTCTGAAAACTTCTTAGGTGTTAAACCGCTTTTGACTGGCTCTCCTATTCCAGCTTATTTTATGTGCATTTATCCCCCCTGAAGAACCATAGCTGGAGCTTGCAAGTCACAATCCTTTGGTTTGCTTGTTTGGCTGGTGTTCTAACCCTCAAGCCACTCTTCCAGCATGGCTTTTGTTGTGTTCTTGTCAGTACTGGGGCTTGAACTCAGGGCCTGGGTGCTGTCCCTATCTTTTAGCCTCAAGATTGGTACTCTACCACTATGAGCCACACCTCTTCTTTTGCTTTTTGATGGTGATTTTGAAGAAGGGAGTTTCACAGACTTTTTTTTCCCTAGGGTTAGCTTTAAACTAAGATCATTCAAATCTCAACCTCCTGAATAGCTAGAATTAAACGAGTAAGCCCCCATCAACACCAAGCTCCTCTGCTATTTTCAAGGGTACTATGTACAGTGATTCTCTCTTCTCTGTCTATTATCTGGATAACCTCATTCATTCCAATAATTTCAATCACCATCTTCAGGCATATAACTCTAGAACTTTCAGCCCTGGTATCACTATATACCATGTCTATATGTCTGTCTGCCTCCATAGGCATCTCATCCTTATGATTGATCTGTGTATACCTCACATGACTAACAAGTTAAAAACAAAAGAAAAAATGCATTTTCTTTACGAACATGCTTTCCCATTCCCCTTTTATTTCCCTGCTTATTATTTATTCTAGTCATGGTACTTAAAACCCTGGAATCACTATTGGATAAATGTCAAGTCCAAACTCCAGACTGGTAATCAGATTGTTCAACTTTTTCATCTTATTTCCACTATTTTAGGCTCTTACTTTTTACTTTCTTTTCGGAAACAGTTGTCTATGTACCCAACTGATAACCTCTCCCTTCAGTGATCAGCTCTTCTTCTTACTTCCTTTATCTTTTCATGATCTTCCACCCTGATCAGTTCACACTCTTGCTTTAAAAGAATTGTTTATTGAGCAAGAAAGTCAAGCGAGAGGGCAAGCCCCTGAGTTCAAGCTGGCGTACCAGCACCAAGAAATAAAACGACTGAACAACAGATAGAAGTATTAATTATATATGTGTATTTATACAAAAGAATGTCCTCATCAATAATATATGCTCTAATTAAAGACAAAGTAACTTGATATCTGTACATGAGTTTAAGACATATTGCACTGTTTCAAAACTGTTAAATTAAGGTGGTGGCTATATGGGTTTGTACTATTCCTACTTTTAAAAAAAAATAGTCAAAGACAGAAAAGTTTAAGGCTTTTCCATAAACTTGTATACTGTGGAAAGGTAAAAGCCATAGAGCCCTGGTAACCTTCACAATCCTATCTCCTACCACCTCTAACAGTCTAATCTAGCACACAAACTCACGGGACTTTAGAAACCCAGTGTACATGGACCTCCACATGCCACATGTGTTTTTCTTGATCTGAAATGCTTTGGCCCCAGACAATTCCTATTCCTTTTTATATGTTTGCCTTAAGCACCTCCTCATCCAATTTCCTCCTTCCCAGACTCCCATAATGCTCTTAAACTGTTACTATATATTGCCTGGCACTATATCATAATTCCCTGAAACCTGTGCTGTACTACCTTACCAACAAGTAAAAACACAGATGGTTTGAATGTACAAATATTTGCAAAATTTGGTACCTTCTTCTATCATCCAACCACAAAGTGTCAAAAAGTCATGTAGAACAACTTAAAGGTTGGTTTAACTACCTCGATGGTTTATCTCAGTATACTTTCAATCCTTCTCCCCAAACAATCTACCACAGACTTCACTTTTTCCAGCGACCTGTACTCTACAAAACCCACATGGTAACTATAATCTCAGAACTAATCACGTGTACAGTTGGCTTATTTCCCTCCTAGTCTATTCACACTCCCTCTACTAAAATCCTTCACCCTTCTTCATTACCACTTAAAAATGATGAATTTCCTAAAAAGCAAAGTCCTCATCTCCTCTCTGTCTTATCTGTTGGGAACATTCCTCACACCCCACACAGACAGCATACTCAAAAGTGTTTGTAGACCATGTTCAGCGAGATTCTGTAACGTCCCAGATGCTGGAAATCTTTTCACACCACAAGGAAAAGGGGAGGGGGAATTTCACAAACTGCTAAACAGCTAGATAATCTCATGAACGAGCGTGCCCTACCAGGATTTGTGAATCAACGTGACAGTGGAGAACTTCGAAACGCAAAGTTGTTTGCCTCTACCTCAATCATAGGGAGAAAAAGAAAAGGGCGGGGGTGGGAGGGGGGAGGGAGATCTGATGGCAAGATGGTAATTAGGATCTGACACAATGTTCCAAAATTGTGACCACAGGGCTAAGTGGAGAAATAACCGATCACATTGTAGCTGAAAGTTACCACTCTGCACCCAGACCTCTCCGGGCTTAGCACCGTCGGAGGGAAGGGAAACTTGAGAGTGCCGCTGAAGGGCCCAGCGACGTGACGGCACGTGCACCGGGCCTCCGCCGCCTCCCACCGTCCCGGGCCCCGCTCCACCCCGCGTCCCCGGGCCCCGGACCCGAAGGCACCAGACCTGTCTGAGTCCGAGTCCGAGTCCGAGGTGTCCGGGGGCTGCGGGGCGAGCGCCGGCCGTGCGGGGTCCGGGCCGGGGAGGACGCGTGGCGGCTCCGGCGGCGACGCGGGGCTCCCGGCGGCGGCGGCCGGCGGCGGCTCCCTGGAGGGCGGCGCCTCCTCGGCCGGATCGGCCGGGGGGCTCTCCGGCGGCGGCGGGGCGGCGGCCCGGACTCGGGCTCGGGGACGGCGTCCGGACACGGACCCGCCGGGCTCGGATCCGCCGGGCCCGGGCCGACCCTGAAGCCGGAGCTACTGAAATTCAGAGTTTCCAACTGAGCGGCCGCGGCCTCCACCACCTCCATGGCGCCGCGCCCGACACCGAGCAGGGCCTCACGTCCTGGGCGGGCAGGCGGACAGACCGACGGACGGGCTCCGGCCGGGCCCGACGCGGTAAGCACACCTCGGGAACGAACGCTCCGAGGCCGGCGCCGAAGCTCCCGCCTTTCACCGGTAAACACACGCGGGGCGGCCGGGACACGCCCCCCGGCGTCACGCACGGCACTTCCGGGAGAACGTGTGACGTCACGCGCCGCGCAGGGGGCGGGGCCCGCGGGGCCTATTAGCTGCAGGATTGATCCCAGGTTTAGGGAAGGAATGGAATGAGGTCTGAGTTTGGGTCTGAGCAAATGCTATTGAAAGCACGTTTATATGAAGGGATGAGGGATCTAACCGGAGACGGCTAGGTTCTGTAGAGTAGCATCTTGACTCAGGAGATCTTGAAAAGTGAACTTCCAGTCATTTCATTAAGGTGAAATTAAGTTTGAAAGGGATAGATAGATCAATAGGCGGAAAGCGCATTGAGCATCGTCTCAGAAGATAACTGCAACTGCCCCATCTTCCCTTCCCCCAAATCTCTCTCAAAATAAAGACAGCAGTCATGATGGACAGACGTAGCTGCTTGTGGATGCTTTGTCCATCATAGTTAACACTGGTTCATGAGAAGGGCCGGTTGACCCTAGAAAGTACTAATTCACCCTGGGAAACCTTCACTCTACATTGTAATGAGGGCAAGCGAAGAGTTCTTGTGAATGAGGAAGGGATCAGAATGTTCTGGTTTCCTAGTGGGTCTTGGCATTAGAAGTTGACATTGTAGCTTCGAGTAATAATAATCTGGTACAACTAAATAGATATGCATAGCCATAGAGAACTGTGCTAAGGATAGTTATAAATTATTCAGTGGAGATTTAATGTGGGCCATCCACAGTAGTAGGCCCTCAGAAAATTCAAGTCAAGTGTAAAGCAGTTCTCCTTAAATTCAAGGTAGATTGGTTCTCCATTCTAGCAGATAAAATTTGAGGATGTTTGATTCCTATATATGAAATGATACAGTACTTGGAAATATCTTATCTTCTTATATTCTTTTAATGATCTCTAGATTGTTATGTTGAAAAAGGTAAGTTTTATATAAATGGTTTGTTTTACTGTCCTGAAAATAACAAATTATTATTATTGTTATAATTGCTCTGAATAAACACATTTTTCAAAAAAATCTGTGGATGTAATCTCAGCACTAAGGACTTTATACTTTATTTGAAGTAAAAGTAAGTGAGCAGGAGTTAATTAGACATAAATGGAAAAGAGAATACAAACACAACATCTCTATAAAGTTTAGTAGGACTGCATCATGGAAAAGCTGTATCATTTCAAAAGAAGCAGGAATTTAAGTGTGAAATATTATGAATGCAATGATTATTCAGAGCTCAGGATTCCCAGCTAAATATGCCTGTGTGTAATTCTCAGTTCTGCCATTTTGTTGTTAGTGTAACTGTAACCTTGAGGAATGTAACCTAACCTACCTAAATCTTAATTTTCTTATTTATAAAGGGAGACAAAAGGACTACCTAGTAAACCAGGCATGGTGTCATATTAGTGTAATATCAGAACCTGGGAGGTGGAGGCAGAGATAACCTGAGACAAGCCTGTATAGTGAGTTCCAGGCAGTTCAGGCATGAGACAGACCCTGTCTCAACTAATAAAAATTCCAGTTGCATACTGGTGGCTCCTGCCTATAATCCTAGCTATGTGGTAAGCTGAGATCTAAGAATCACAATTTGAAGTCAGGCCGGGAGGGAAAATCTGTGATACTCTTATCTCCAATTAAGTACCAAAAAAAGCTGCAAATAGATCTGTGGCTCAAATCATAGAGCACTAGCCTTGAGAAAAAAAAAAGCTCAGGGACAGGGCTTTGGCCCCAAGTTCAATCCTCAGGACTGACACAAAAATACATAAAATAAGATAAAAAATATTTAAAAATATTTATTGAGTTAATGGAGTGTTGCATAAGGTATTGTAGAAGTGAATGGCCTGGCATACACAACACATTTAGTATGCAAAATTGAATGGAACAATGCATAAATTTATAAATAAAATGCTATTTCACTGGTAGTGATCTTCCAGTAGACACACAGTATTAGCCTTAGGAGGGAAGAAATTTTAGTCTGAATGACCCTTCAGGCAGCAAAATATCTGTTGCATTTTTCCAGTAATGAAAGTCTGAACCAGAATTTGAACTGATGAAATAGAGTAAAAGAAATTCCACACATCAAGCCATACTCAAATTACAACCTCTGCATGAGGAAGCTAAAAGTTGTTACCACCTAGCAAAAAAATGGAAATTTCTATAAATATGTGAATGTGAATCTTAACAGTCTGTTGAAAATGTCAAAAAAAGATTTTAAAATGATAGACTAGCATGGAATAGAAAACACCAGAAGCCTAAGTTCATGGATAGTTCATCTATTCCTGTGTTCATTCAGTAACCATTTCCTTAACATTGCTATGTGCTATACACTGAACTATAAACTGTGTGTGCAGAAAGGTAAATAAATCATAGTCCCTGCTCTTAACAAACTAATCATTTAGTAGAAAAAAAACAAGTTGATATGTAAAATAATGGAGAAATGCACTACAGTAGAAGCATGTAGAAGTATAGCAGAGGTATGGGGAAAATGGGAGAAAAATAGAAGGTACTGAGAATACTCAACTGTGTAGTATATTCATAGAGACATAATAACTGTAAGATGAATGATAGTCACAACACTCACTGATGCATCTTGCAGGGCCCATGCTACAGGTAGTATGAGATGGTTATCTAGGACTGCCTGTAATCACACCTCCCAACAGCACAAAGTTTCACAGTAAGTGTGATGTTTTAGCGAGATTGTTAAGAAGACAACACACTTGTTAAGTTGAGAGAGCAGGAGCACTTCACAAGAGAATAAATAAAATCATGATATGTCCTGCTTCAAACCATTCCTAATGACATTAACATCCAGAGTCCTACCTGTAGTTTTCCAAGCTCCACCTGTCTTGGATCTGATTTCACCTCTCCTTCCTTTGCCTATGCTCTTGTGTCAATAGCACAAGACTAGAATTAGTCTTGATCATCCTTCAGCTGAGCAGTTGTACTCTTCACCTTCCTGTCCTCTCTGCTCTTCATAACATGACTCCTGCCTTCATTTCACATGTCTTTTCTCAGATTTAACATTCTAGCCTCCAGCTCTGAGGCCTTGCCAGGACACCACTCAATCTATGAATACCCCGCCCCAGAGCACTCACTCCCTAAATTATTTTCCAGTCCATAGTATTTGTCATTTCATGAAATTATACTTATCTGCTTCTTGATCATCTCTGTTTTCATCTAAAATCTCATGAACCCAGGTACTTTGTCTAATTCATATCAGCTTCTGCAGTGCCTCAAAACATAATAAATGTAATGATTTTTAAACAGACTAATAATAACAATGAAATCTTAGTAGACAGAGTAAGGAGAGTGTTTTACAGATCATTCCTAAACTGATGCACAAGTTTTTCTGTTCCTTTAATCTGATGATAGCTAAGAATGGCTGGTGTTGAAGTTACAAAGATTTTTGTTTATGAGGTAGGGTTGATCTCTGGGTTTTTAGGTAAGAATACCTTGTACCTGTGCCTAGCTTTGAAATAGGTCACTTTCACAATTGGTACTTTTTCTAAGTGCTTGACTGTCTCAAAATGTCCTGAATTTACCTCCAGTACTTCCAGAGCCTGCCTACCCACTGCATTATTTCTAATAGCTGCTAAACTTAGCCTGAAAACTCTATACCTTCAGGCTAATTCTATGAAAAACTGAGGAGCTTACAGGATCACTACTGAAATTAAGAAACAATTTACCACATATTAACTTATGAGCTAGAGGGAATCATGTAAAACAATATATTCTTAAAAGTATAAAAACAAACCTCCTGAGATGAAACATTTGAAAAACAGTTTACAAGTTCATCCTTCTCTATATATTGTAAAGAGTGAAAAAAATATACAAAAACAAAACCCACCAGCTGACTAGTTCTTAAAAGTTATTTCCAGCTGGGTGCCAGTGCTCATGCCTATAATCCTAGCTACTCAGAGACTGAGATCTGAGGATTGTGGTTTGAAGCCATCCCTGGCAGGAAAGTCCGTGAGACTTCTATCTCCAATAAACTACTCAGAAAAAAAAAAAACCCAGAAGTGGTGCTGAGGCTCAAATGGTAGAGAGATAGGCTTAAGAAAAATAAGCTCAAGGATAGCACCCAGACCCTGAGTTCAAGCCCTAGGACTGGCAAAAAAGAAAGAAAGAGAAAGAAAGAAAGAAAGAAAGAAAGAAAGAAAGAAAGAAAGAAAGAAAGAAAGAAAGAAAGAAAGGAAGGAAGGAAGGAAGGAAGGAAAGAAGGAAGGAAAAGAAAAGAAAAGAAAAGAGTTATTTCCACAGGTTCTGGTGGCTCATGCTTGTAATCCTAGCTACTCAGGAAGCTGAGATCTGAGGACTGTGGTTTAAAGCCAGTTCAGGCAGGAAAGTCAGGGACACTCTTATTTCTAATTTACTGCAAAAGCCAAAAATGGAGCTGCCATGAGCTTAAAAAGCTAAAGGATAACAAGTAGGATCAGAGTCTTGCTTCTCTAGAAATGAGAAACCGTTTTCATTTAGATTCAAGACTGAAGAGTGTGAAGGTCACACCTCTTGGCTTCCTGGTCTCTAACACTCAGCCTCTGTAGAGAGGGACTTACTTACCTGGTTAGTAGATTTGAAAAACAACTACACACACACGTTTGGCCCAGAACCTTCTAGATGCTGGTTAAATGCTGCCTACTGTCAGAGAGCATGCATGCTGAGCAGTGATGATAGAATGGCAGTTTTCTGTGTATTAGCCCTATTGTAAGCACTGAACAAACTTCTTTCTGCAAAACTTTAACTATAATTATTAATCTGGTTTTACAGATAAGGAAACTGAGGCTTACTGAGGCTCCCAATGTTCCGCGGCTAATAAATGTTTGAATGGTCCCCCAGAGGAACCATTTTGAGAATGTGAAATGTATCTAAGGCAGATGAGAAACTAAATTTTATTTCTAGCGAATGTTAGTTACTTTAAGTTTAAATTTAAATGTTCTTCCAGGTGAGATTTGACGATATCAACAAATGCATGACTTAA